ACCAAGATTAACTCTAAAACATCTACACCTCGACCAATAGCCAGTGGTGTTGTGCAGGGTAGTGTCTTAAGTCCATTGCTCTTTATAATCTACATCAACAATATATGCAAGTGTTTTAGCACAGGTAAGACCTACCTCTATGCCGATGACTTAAAAGTCATTTATAAAACTGACATTTGCGATTTAATTAGTGCTATGCAAACAATCCAACATGAACTCAACATGGTAGACGACTAGTGCAAACGCTGGAGGTTAGAGCTCAACACAGAGAAATGCGGCTGGCTATGTATAGGAGACATGTCTCTTAAAATAAAACTAACACTTAGCAATCACACACTGCCCAGACTGGCATCAGTAACTGACCTAGGGGTACGTTACTCACACAGTCTTAATTTTTCTGAACACATCTCAGCCAAAGCATCCAAAATGCGGAAGTTGCTTGGCTTCATTCTCCGTAATTTCTATCAGAATGGATCTGAAATCCTTCTTTAAAAAGTTTGTGTAAGACCTATCGTTGAATACTGCTCGTTCTTATTTTTCAACCTACGCCTTCTGATTACTAAAGGTGGTGGAGATACAACGAGACTTCACCCGCAAAGTACTTAAGACTGACTCAGTCATTGACTACAGTTCCCGATCCCAAATCTTAGAAATAGAACCCCTTTGGAAGAGAAGGCATAGGTACCTGCGCATGCGCAGGTACACGGCATTTTTACAGGCATGATCTATCAATTGCAACATTTGTTGGTTCACAAAATGCTTCCCAACTTATTAAGTTTATAGTTGTTATAAAGTATACCCGTAGAGCGCTTGTTGTAAACTGTGATCTTGAGTGGACGCGTACGTCAAATTTGTCCCAGACGTCAGGAGTTTCATAGCTGTGCCCTCAGATCAATTTTCTGAAGAAGAAGAAAAAAGAGAAACAGATGAGCAGCAAGGCACTTGGATATGAACGCCAAACGTTGCTTAACATTGTGTAGTAGAACGGACAGAGGTATAACAAATTAGAATAAATTCATATTATATCTTGTTAGAGTGAAATGAAGTCAGAGGCTCCATATTAGAGAATGTAGTAATAAAGAGCAATGAGTTGTGTCGTTTAACAAGTTGGAGTAAGCACACATGAAGGAAGGGAAGTCAAGGTTGGTACAAGGGAAGCGGTTTATTAGAGGGTGTGTATATAGAGGGTGAAGTGTTAAGAATACTAATGACTATATATTTTGTTATCTAATTTTTTTTTCGTCTGTCCGATGCCAGCTACACAATCCTAGTGTGAAAGTTCGAGTTAGCATTTTATAGGTTGTCTTAGTAGAATAGCTAATCCAGCATAATATTGGAAACATGAGTCTGAGTGGTGAGCGTAGGAAGACAATTTATATCACAGATTGACTGACTTATTCTCAATCATGAGGAGCCTGATACATACAAAATGTTCTGTCCCCACAAACACGGGTGGATTGAAGTTATCGCCCTCACCATCAATGCTTGCTGGTCAGTAACTTCTGACATCTGAAACATACTTGACGTACACGTCTCCTCAAAGTCATGGTTTACAGCATGCGCTATACGAGTATACTTTATAACAACTATAAACTTAATAAGTTGGGAAGCACGCTGTGCGCCAACAAATGTTGTAATTTATAGATGCCTGTAAAAACGGCGTGTACCTGCACATGCAGATATATATATATATATATATATATATATATAATTATTATTATTATTCGAATGTCTTTAGAGAAGGCAGAAGGGGAAGCAGATGGCGTTAAAGAAGAAATGTATGAAGAAGGAAAAAAGGAAATTATGAGAAATTAAGGCCATGGTGGAAGGCGTGGTGTTAAAAATTTATTTTAGACACACAAGTATAGTTCTCCCAGATGTATAGTCATTGATTTGGCAATGTTATTAAGATGCAATATAACTGTTTTTGTCAGTCATCCACTTTGTAAATGACTTTGGATAAAGAAACCGCTTTGGTTGAGTGACCTGTGTTCATGGGGTTATGAGATTATCGAGCTTTTTACTGATCCGTTTTCGTATCTTTTAAGCCACTCCGTGTAGTGTCCTTGAATTCTCCTGGATAAAGTATAAATCGCAAGATCTATACACTGACTTCACATGAGCCGGCGTAGCACAGCGGTCATATATGGTGAACTGAGCCATAGTGTTTCAATTATTTGAATTGTATTATGAACTAGGAACCCCAGAATTAACGCAATTGAACTAAGAAGTGAGACACAAGCACAAACAAATGTATTGTATTTGGAATTCGAAATCGAGCATTCAACAAGTACAAAGGTATCATTGGTTCATTCAAACACCACATGAGCCCACGGTAAAATAGATCGCAATTTAGGCGTGATAACCCAGTTTTGTTAAGAAAAATTGATCTACAGATGCGCCTGTTTACTTACTTGTCATCGATCCCAGGCAAATCTTTCTATTAGGACTGACATCAAGTTTCATGAATCCTAAACTACTGATGGATAAGATTTTATGTTCATTAAGCTAAGCTCACTGATGTAAATGACGGTTAGAGCCCTATGAAATCTTGTCATTCACTATGTAAAACTGTTTGATAAATATTCGGGCTGCAAAATATGATCATATAAATGACCTTCAGTCTTCGGTAATAAGGATAGGAGGTCCATCGATCTAGAGTAATCCTTGAAGTTTGCAACACGGTAGAGGTCAAATCTCATTTTGAATATACCAACAAAAGGTGCTGATATTGAGTGTTCTGGTAGAGAATTCCGATAATTCATTACTCGGTGCAATAAATGAAACTTCAGATTTAGACGATTTGATCTCGGTTTTCGAGATTTCATCGAATATCTACTCAAATGGTCAGTCCTAGACGGAAGGAAATGATAAGACATATTCAAACATATTATTAAAGGTCATCGTTCAGTACACAATAGACCGGTATTAGATCACCCCGTATTTAACGGTAAGATAACGGAAACAAGAATAGGTAAGAGGACAGACAACAGTGTTGAACCTCGAATACATAAACCTTGGTAATCACAACTTTCTCCGCCTTTGTGGTATCATCTTTCCGTATTTCTACAAAGGGTTTTTAAGATGTTAAGCGAAAACAGGGTCGGTTTCAAATACAGGTTCTGGTTCTCTGCTGTTTTTTTTCAAATTTTCTCATGATAATCTATTCTCCGTACACAACAGTAATTGTCACCTTCAGAAAGCACTTTATCTGCGGACTTTGTTATAATGAGCATATGTATTGATCTAAGCTGAAATATTCAGTAGTTAGATTATTCGGTCTGGTCTCTTTATTAAGGTTCATATTTAACTGTCGAAAGTACAATACCGCACTGTGCTGTACTACAAATAGTCAGCTAATCGCGGATAGCACAAAAGTGAGATAACAATTTTTTTCGTTTCGAGCCTTTGAAAAAAGGTTTGGATGTAAAAAAACCAAATGTTAGCGGCTTCCAGATGCCTTAAGTGAACATTTTAAGGAAAATACATTTGGACCCAAAGTATAATGCAAATATAATATTTCGAACTAAAGTGTTTAGAGGATAAGCCTTTTACATGGGCTAGAAACGGCTATTAAATCTAAAAAAGCATAAATATTGAATATCTTAATGATAATTCTGCACACAATATTTTTCTTGCTTTCCAAATTAAAGAGTTTGTGAGGACACTCAAGAATTTTAGAAACCTGAAAAATCATTTGCCGGCAGACAAACGTCTGTCCCATCGAATCATCAACGAATGTTACTCTTTATTGTAACACGTAGTTAAAGATCCATTTGTTGACCCGTTCAAGAAACAGGTAAATTAACTGACTAACCAACCTCAGAGGACTTACACGAGCCAACAAACATATTGTCTTGACCAAACTGAAACTGTCTAGGAAGCTACTTATTTTCAATACTGTAATAAATATAAACTGATAATGTTAGCAGAAACCGAAAGAGGTTCAGAGAGGCAACTGCTCAGTGCAAAGACAGTGAATAAAACGTCAGATTATTTTGCATTTGTTTTAGTACATCAGTTGCTAATATTTCCTGCATAGGACTGGAGTGCCGGCTATTTTATTGTTTTCAGCTGTTAGTGGGTTTCAGTAGTTTGGACTGCTAGTTCTTACATAAGTGCTATGTAGATTTATTATTGCTGATTTTCAGAAACATGCAAACCTTATTTTAGCGTCTTAATAGTAATCGGAGGGTTCTTACATAAAAACTCAACTACACGCTGCTTATCTCAATCTCCCTATTTTGAGAAAGCGGCACAAAAACCCCGGATTTCCTCAAATCAAGGGGGTAAAAACATGTTGAGTACCTTAACTAAGTCGATAACTAAGAGTTAGAAAGTTATGGAGTGTGGATTTTGCCTATAGGCAAAACTAACGAGTACTATATATAGCACTTTAGTTTTTAATTTCCATCTAAATTATGTGTAGAAAGTAGTCCTTTACCCATAAACGATCGATGAGTCAGTACAACCTTAGGTCAGCTAATTGTAAGTTGACGCTCATTGTACGCTATTCATTGACGTACTGTTTGTGTGGTCTAGTAATGCGTAATTAGATGAATGATCCTAAATCTTCAATCCTGGAGGAATGTTCATTAAGTTTGGAGATTATTCATAGCTTTTACTTTTTTGTGGTTATTATCTCTATATCTTTTCTAACTCGGCGGTAAACCACTAAAAGAAACCTATTTATTGCTGTACAACTAACGCAAGCACTCTTCGGGCCAAATATTTATCATGAAAAAGTAGTAATCCTTTCGGAAATAGAACATGAAGTACTTCCAACAATCGAGTAACATGACTTTGTCCGACTTTACAACCTTGTTAATCATGTGTTAGATATATGGTGAGAAAATTCACTTTCTGGTATAATGGTGAAAAGAAAGGTCTGTATGATAATTTCTATTACTCTTTCAGAGTGTCTAAATAGCTACTCAGTACCTTAGCCTGATTTTTGTCCTCTGTTCTGTTTTACTAGAGAATTTGTATTCTATCTATCAATGTACGTAGTTCTCCTTAAATCGGCTGGTGATAATGCTACTAGCATCGGTGATGACCCTTATGTACAGGTAGGTTAATTTTGTGATTAGTTTGTCCACCATTTTGAAAAATTAGATATTAAAAAACTCAGGTTTCAGCGTAGACTTACTGGAAACTCTTGATTTCGAGTATAACATATCAAATCTAGCGGAATACAAAAATTGGAGGAACAATCACAGTTGCATTATTTTTAGTAGCCCACGTTCCGTTATCGCATGTGTTAAAGCTGGACTAACAGGTCAGTGTACTTTTTTATGACACCTTTTGGTAAATGATAGGTAATGAAAATGACCTTTGTTTCGTTGTTGGTCCTAGCACTGAGTTACAAGGTAATGAATCCCATAGTTATAAATATTAATAAAATCGTTTTATAGCTAAAAAAGCTGGATTTTCGCCTAAGGGAGCTGATTCTGGTGATGCGGAGAAGCTCGCTAGTTTTATTTTGAAGCACTTTGCCTCAAGTAATCTGTAGATAACCTAGTTTCTTCCACTCATTACACACAAATCATTTTACAGAATTGGATAAACCTATATTTTTCCCATCTGGGCAAGTACACCGCGACACACTACCGAAAGTTTTGGAAAATGAAGGTTTCTGTATAATAACTTAATATTCTTGAAATACAGGAAAAAAAGTAAATACCGTTGTGGCCTATTCTTCTGTAGAAAATACTCAACTTCATGAAAAACTGCGATTGAATTTATGTGTAAGTTCTCTGTTTTCAGGCATTGCAACAATAACCTTTTAAAAAAATTTATTCCCTTCAAAGTAACATCTGGTTTTCTGGCTAGGTTTAGCAGTATTTTCTGGATTTAATTGTGTGTCTTTGCTTGCTTCACAGCATAGCATTTTTGGATTATTCACATTGTTCATTCTACAGCTAACCAAATAATTCCTTTCGGAAAGTGCAACCAAAGCCACGTTCTGTTCACTGCAAATGCGCCTTGTGTACCTTAGTACACCAATCGTAAGTCATTAGCTTATACAACAGCTGAGTTTAGTTACAGGCTCTTCTCAGCAAATTATAAACGAAAACAGACTGGCTGGAATCAGTCAGTGAAGTCATTGACTTTTGGACTGAATCCTAATGGTAAGTACTAACTACCTGTTGACCGAAAGGTTTTTCGGCAACGTTTGTCATTGAAAAGCGTACCATAGAAGTACATAAAGCTTGACCATGGATAAGGTAACAGAAGAACTAAGTTGCAAAATTTTCATACAGAATCTAATATTTCCAAAGTTCATGGTTTGAAATGAGAATAGGACAATCAGGTACAATTTACTTGCCGAATGTTAGCTCAGGTATCTTTCAGAAACAAGAATGTTTAAGCTATGTGGTATGTTTAAATTGGAAAGTAATTTTGAACATACTCTTTGAAGATTTGTACTACTAAATAATCTTAGTTGAAGGTCATCAGTACCAATTAGCAGCATTAATAATCGAAAAAAATTTATCAGTAAGGCATATAGATGGATTTGCAAATATTTGGTACTAATTGTTTGTAATTGATTGTTCTTTTGTATGATATTGAAGCCTATAATTATAAAAATAATTTGTTAGTGTTTGTATCTTTTTCTAGGAAGGAAATCCTATTCCTGAATGTTTAGTATTTTTCAGTCCCTCTGGCGTTTCATTGACTGAAAAAATATTATTAACCGAAATTAAACCACATCGACCGAATATTAAAGTAAGTGTATGTTTTTTCTATGTCCTCAACTTATTTCACTTGAGAAGGTGTCCGTGCCGTTTCTATATAAAGTTTCTAAACTTACATTTTCATCTAACCAGTTAAATTTTAGCCCTGGTTTATCCATGAGGATTATTGGAAATAACTACATCATGACAAACAAATAGTATATGGAAGCTAGTTCTCATTGTAAACTGACATCAAATACCATACACCATAACACACCAACTTTATGGAGACATACTAGCTGTTTTTTCTCTTTTACTAAATCAAAACTTGAAGTTTATCTTATCTGGTCTTTATACATATTTAATTTGTGTTTAGCGTCATCACTTTCTAACATGTTCATTACTACATTGTGATGAAGCTGAAAATAATTTTCGTAGATTCGTAGATCTATTCTCTCATCTTATGAGATACATAAACTATTTATTTTGGCTTACTTAGTACTAATATGCTAAATTTGAGACAGATTTTTATTCTATTTTATTGATCATGGAAAATGAGCTAAATAGGATTACCGATGAAGTTTCAGGTTTTCTTTCATATCATATCGAACAAAACGTCTGAAGATTAGTTAGCTTGTAACACAACAACATCTTGAAGATTTTTGCGGTGTGTTTAGAGGTTAAAGTGGCTAGTTACGAAAAAAGATAAACTGGAGCAGGCAAAATTACTTTTGTTCTCATAGAAATCTATTCTGATAGCAGTGAATCTTGAAGACTTAAGGGAAGTATTCAAAATTCATAACAGTTTAAGTAATGAATCAATCAAATTATTAAGAAATGCACAACTGTTTTATGGAACTTCCATATTTCGCGATAGATGATTGTTGATTGGCTGTTGCGCGTATGTTTGGTGCTGTTTTATAAGGAGGAATATTTTTCGAGCTCATGAAAATAATACAATGATGAACTGTCAGAAAACACGCGAACTAGAAAACTCCTGTGTTTCATTTTGTCGTTAGATGTAGTTTCTGCTCGGTATTCAAGTGATCTAGAGTGTCATCAAACTCAGCTATTATAACGATACGATCACATAAGTTAGTGGAAATCTTGTTCGAATCAGTGATCTCAAGATTACTAAGCGAGCCAGGATTTGTGATCGCCTTTTACTCTCCGGTCTTATATCATAATAATGATAAGAAGGCGACTGCAGTCCAGCTTCTTTTCGCCTTCACTACCATTTCAGCTTTGGTTCACTAATTTAGGTATGCGAATAATACTATAAATAGTTTTAAGTAGACATAACTTATCATAAGATATAGGTATATGTGGTCAACCGAACTACACTTGATGTATACAGCTCAGGCTTAATGTCCAGCTGATAAAAAACGTAGTTGTGAAAGAATCAAATGTGACGATCGTTAAAAGTATAGTAATTATAGCCCTAAACTTCGTTCCATAGGCCTCGTCCATAAACTTTCCTGTGCTCGCTTAGACTTATACGGTCAAGTAGTCCTATTAAACGTCACACTAAAAGAGTATACTATAGCATTATACAAAATTACATCAGTTAGGACTTGGTCATTATCTGATATTAATGCATATTGATCTAGGTTGTCCTAGAAATTGTATATGACCTCCAATAAATTGTATGATTCTATGTAAAAGTTTTAAATTTCATCGGGTTTTATTAATAATTACTTATTTTGCCCTGACTTTCTCTGTCAATCAGTTGGTTGCTATGGGACGCGCAACAGCAACACAATTAAAAGAATTAGGTTTGACTGTTTCAGCGGTTGCCTCATCACCTAAACCGGAAAGTCTACTAACAGCGCTAAAGCAGTTAAAATGATGTTTATAGTCATCAGTAAAGAAACTTTTTATCTTTTCAAATCCTAACTCTTTGTTGCTTTTAATATTCTTTGACTTGTTTGTATTTATTTATTCCCAATCATTTCCAATACCAAGGAAATTTTATTGCCTTTTGGGGATAGTACAGGTAGTAGACACTATTTATTCAAGCTGCATTGATTATATTTTTTTTCTTCAAAGAATATATTTATGTGCTTTTTTTATTTTACAAAAATTGTGCCTTGTTTACTTATTTATATCTTTATTTGTAATTTGTGAATTACACAATCTATTTATTTGTGTAAACTAATAATGAGCTCAATTCTATGGATTGTTGACATTATTTTTTATGCAATGCATTTGAAATTAGTATTTTAAATAAATTTAATGTTCTACAGAATATGTTCTTCTTCAGGGAATGATATTATCTCCAACTTAGTGTAAAAAGATGTAAAATTCAAATGACGTTAGAATTTGAGTATTTGCTGAATTTATCACGTGAAAAGATTCTACCATCAAGTATCTAGTAGTCTTTGAGTAATCAAAAATGGTGGTTTAAATTCAAGTGTATTTGTTTAACTAAACTTGTCTAGGGTATTTTAAACAAAACAGAATGAAATCATTCAATATATAATGTGGATTTGGTTTCCAGTGTTAAAATTCCATTGGAGTAGTTAGATCATATCATTCAATAGGATGAGGAAAAATTCCAAATAAACATAAACTTCTGTAGCGATCATAATTAAATGTTAGTTTCATTTAACAACTAATTATTGCTTAATTGAACAGTTGCAGTGTTATCAGTTCCAGTGATGAAAGTCAGATTAAAACTGTTGTTTTCTAATTTTCGAATAATTAGAAGGATGGGAACTCTTAATCACACTTAATTGGAAGAATCATGATCAATAAAATATTACTGTTTTATTATATACAACTCCAGTCATTCTCAAGTTACAGTTCCAGAAAATTTCATTGTTTATTGTGGATATTCGCTCGCAGACTAATTACTAGTAGTAGACGTATATTTTTTAAGGAGTGGATATTTTAATTAATGAATTTAGATAGTTACATTCTGTCTAAAATTACAAAATGATAATGATGACTAATGGTAAGATCGTGTAAGTTTACTAAAAACTGGAAAAGACTAATTTGAATTACCGAAAATATTCTGATCACAATGACCGTCACTAAGTATGTTATATGCTGCTTCAGTGATGTATCAGTTGATGTTCTTTTCTATTAGTTATTACAAACTCTAGACTGCTTAATAATATTCGTTGTAGACTGATTAAATCTTCGAAATCAAACAGAAAATTTATTTTTAGACGATTGATTAAAGCGGATACGATAGATATTCGCCCATTTCATTTCATATTGATTATAATTCATCCTGAACGGACTGAATATCGAAAATATCATTATGATATAAAAAAAGTATCTTTCTTGTTACAAGATCTTTATGTCTGTAGATTATCCGACCATATAAAAGTTTGTAAATATGTGCTCTTTTGAGTGCTGACAAGTCTGTATTGTTTCGTAGTACCAATATTTTCAGTAATCAGAATTAATGCTAAGAAAATTAATTTCGTCAGCAGCATTTATTTGTAGACTTTTGTTGTTGTGTTAGACAGATTATTCACAATTCAATAGAAAAGGACTTCATCTACATTGGTCAAGCTTCAAAAGATTTTCAATCACATTATTCTAATGTTTGTTGCCAAAGGAACGTATAAAAGAAGTATAAAACTCTAATTCTAGGAATTAAGTTAGTTAATGGAAAATTCTTGAATTAATAAACCATCAATTGATCAATAAGTACTAATCAGTATTATATTTGTGTAGTCTTTAATACTGATCAAAATTTATTGACCAAGTTCCAGTGTGAACACTAGTCTAAACGATTTGATGTCGAACAATGATTATTTCTCTGATTGGGACACTGTGACTTGGGTGAAAATCCCATAGGGAGTATTAGTTCTTTTGAGATTTGCTAATGATTATCAACCACCATGAAACTAATTGGCCATCTCATCCATCACTTGCTATTTAACACCAATGAATCGAAGCTTCTTTAGAAGGAAATTATTTAAGTTAACAAAGATTACTGCTTCTGCTTGTAAGAGCTTATTATTTGTGACAGCTGATCATTTAGTCAATCTCTAGTTACTATTTACGCAAGAGTAATGGAAAATGACATTCGAAATGATGCATTTTCAAACTTTTTTACTACATAGAGGTGTTCAATGGACTTGGAAATAATGTTACATGATTGAAACGCATTCCTTCATAATTACATGTACGGACATATTCGCATACATTGAAATTCACTTTTACCTGTAATTATATATCAACATTTAGGTTGTATATGAACACAAACATATTGTAAGTATTCATTTTTTTCAACGGAAGCGTTATTAACTTTACTGACAGTTTCAGCCTAAAAGGTCAACAAACAGAATACAAAAATATTTTCGATCAGTGACCATGAACAATGTTTATATTGACCAATTTTTACAACTGAACAAATCTATCGAAGTTTGTAACATGGTGATTAATATAATGTGGATAGAATGCATATTTCCTTATTCGATTTCACGAATATATTTATTGATTTCCTATGTATCCCTTTTTTCCCCAAAAAAAATATCATTTTGATTGGTTTATTATTTCATCAATACATTATCCCAACATTTGACATGTTCTACATCAAAATTTCTTTCGCTTTTCAATAAATGCAATTAAAATTATACTAGTCAATCAATATAGTGCTAAACAATTCGCTACAGTTAGTTATTAGTTATTGGTAACTTTGTCAACAAGACTATATGGATAAAATCTCAGAGTCGGTTTTCATTGACATAGTCAATAGTTTACGATAGGGTAGTTGCAAGCATGTGATTGAGTTATTTTAGTTTTTATCCATGGAATGGTTTTAAATTATTGTCCATAACGTTCAAACAGACTTGATGTCAACCAATAAAGTTTCACCAACTAAATAAATAATATTGAGTTATATAAAACTACGGGATTAAGAACAACGATAAATAATACATGATTGATGTATATGCAGCTCAGTGGTTAGGGTGTCCAACTTTCGGTCACAAAGCACCGGATCGGATATTTTCCCATCAACTTCACTTTAGATAAACAGGTAGTTTCAATAGGTTTCACATTTAGAGTGTAGCCGGAAGCCAAGTACACGAGTCCATTCCTAGCGAATCAGTTATATGCGAATAATAAAAAAATAATTGTTTCTTAATGAGTATTTCTTGAGTTCCATGAAAGCACTATTGATGGTAACGTCAGTGTTCTTATTTATCTTATTCTACAATTTTAATTTCATAGTTTATATCATAACACCAAGAATGCAAAGAACAGGGCTGAAACGTATCTCATATTAACATATAAAATAAGTAATGCCTACTTAGCCGACGATTAACAAACAAAAACCACGCTCAATAGAAACGAAAAGGTATAGACCTTGTAAATTGGCGTTCACTGACATATTAAAAAAATAAACATCCATTTGGAGAAAATGATGTCTCAAATAACTAATTTAAATTATCATTCATATCCAAATTTAACTTAACGAACTCCAATTGCTAACGTAAAACGAACACTTGATCATAATCTTGCTAACTCAAAATGCCCAACCAACTACTATAAAGAAATAGATAAGTTAACTATTACCACTCAAATTCAAATAGATCGAAAAACATTGTTCTCCGTGATTAGACTAACGGTAAGCAGGTATTTGATTACATTACTCAAATTGTAATGTATGTATCGAAATTGTGTTAGGTATGCACTGAATCTACAGTAATGAGCAAACACTTAAAAGAACGTAGCCAGAGCGGCATCGCAATCATATTGGTACAAAAGAGAAATAGTAAAAAAAAAGTGTTCATATTCAGTGTAAAAATTCAGTAAAAGGTATTTCAAGTTGCAGTCTTCAGTAGTTATTATAATCGCGGGTTATGATGCACATATTTACCCTTTACTCACTTTGCACTGACGTGTTAAATGAATTTGGACAGTAATTATACAAACTATGGGAAGATACAATCTCACTGTTGGGTTCAATAGTGTGGAATATTTAAGATTTTGATGTTTGAGAAATGAAGATTTTAAGTACCATATCTCACGAATAACTTGATTAGAGTAGGGCGACTTACGTTTAAAGATTATCTCATTGATCTTCCTCAAGTAGTTTTTACAAATGATGTCATTATTTTAATATTAAGAACATACATACTACTGATAATTTAAGTAACGTCCAGTATATTTCCCTTATGTATCTAATTTATATTTAGTACATTAACACACTAATTTTCTTTCGTAATAACTTTTTCATTATTTTTGAGATTGATATATTTTTAGTCCACCAAAGTGACATACAAGAAACATGGTAGCAAATGTATTTTCTTAACACATAAATGGATCATGTCCACTACAAGTAGTGAGGAATGATGTAATAATTTTAAAATACTATAGAATAACATCGCTGAAGCTCTTGTCGTTTCGTAACAAAATCAATTATCTTGACAGCACAATTTGTAGTGACTTTTATTTTTTTGTTATTGTTTATTTCAATCTGAATGTGTATTATATTATTTATGACATATCATTGGTGTCCGCGTGACTATCGTAACCAATGGTTGGAGAATCTTGGTGACATGCCTCAGAATCGATCACAATGGCGTCGGTGTATACACTCTCTGTCTTCCCTTAAACCAAGAGATTAAAATCGCTTCATATCTTTCTTTCTACTAACTAACTCTTTCTTCTTGTACTATATCCTTATATGCAATCTTTCTTTTATATATTACCACCACTGAATTAACGACTTTTATGAACCCGGTGTTCATCTTATTGCGTTAATGAGGTACGGCAACTTGAACCGATGCATATATGTGCCTAGTTCTACGCTGTAGCTGACTGACTGATGACATATCATGAAAAAATAACCAACATAAGTTATTTATGCCATCTATTGATATC